GAAACATTTGATTTCCAAACCTCCGGCCACACTGGAATGTTTGTGCACATCTTTCAGCAATAACAATTGTTGATGTTGTACAACTTTTTCTATCATAACTCAATCACATTGTGTTATCCTAAAAAGTGCTCCCCATACTACAAACCTATTTTTTTAAGTGCCCAAGGTACTAATTACGGCAAATACAGTACATGTTCAAAAGTGCCTGTGATACGGTAGGAATGTCTGCTATGTGTCCACTAAAGCTTCTGCTCAGGACCAGGGTGACGGAAACACTTACACAATTTCCTGCAGTGCAACATCATTAATAACATTTGTATAACTTTACAGATAATAGTCTGTTAATTATTTAATAATTCACACTGAACATGAAAGCTTATAAGTTCCTTAAGCTAATTTTTGTATTCCTTTTTTCAATATATTATTGTAATGCTTTGCAATAACTGATTGGTTGATTGATAAATTTTAATGTCCCTACAACAGCTAAGGTCATATACAGACACGTAGGGATATATCACCCAAAATGCAAGAGAAAGAGAGGGGAAATGAGAAAAACAGATTAATAGAATCTCGCACCCTGTTGGGCCGAGATAGGGGAATCTTTTTCCCTATCTAACCCCTAAGGGGATGAATGATTCTTTTTCTCCTACCCTGTTTACCCATTGTGTATCATATACATAATGTAATGATAATGTTACAGGCTAAATTCAGGGTTGACGTGACGTTGATGGATTGTTGACATTACGTCATGTTATTGTTGACGTGTCTTCATACCATATAGGGGAATCCCCTGGTTTCAACCCTTGGGTGAGTTAGGGTGGATACACCTGTCCAGGTAAGAGAAAAGGATATCTCCCACCAGTAAAAGTGTGGATACACCTGTCCAGGTAAGAGACAAGGATATCTCGCACCGGTAAGTGTGTGGATACACCTGTCAAGGTAAGAGAAATTAAGATATCAGCAGATCAATTCTTCTATGTCCCGTTAGTAGCTACATAGATACAGAAAAAAGTTCCATAAGGGCTGCCATACAATAAACATGCTGGGTGAGTGTGATATGCAGGACCATTATTTCCCAGAATTTAGTTTTTAATTCATTGGATAAAGAAATTTATATAATCTTGTTCTATTTCTGGGTTGATCAATGTAGAATAAAACTCATGCTTGTTCTATTCAATGGTTGCAGAAAGAAATCTGTTGCTACACATTGCACAGAGGGTCTATTACAGAATGTAATTCAAGTAAGGGCGGATACATTCATTAAACATACATATAAATAGCTATATTGTTTCAGCCTCTGCCAGACCCAATTTCTTCTATAATGAGCCAGGGATTCCCATCGTAAATGACTAGGAATTTTATATCACTATATACATGAGCAGTTTGGTTTCTCACAGTGATGTAACGTCTTGTATTTGGAGTTAACAGATTTGTCTGTTGTCCTTGCTATTGCATAAGAGTATGATTAAATATGTTCAATTTCATTTCGATTTGTGGCTTCATCTTGAAAGAGAAAATAACACTGCTATCTGCTTTAAAAATATGACTGTGGGACACAACATATAAGTTAGATAAACCTTTCTAACCTGACACTGAAAGACACTACATATAAGTTAGATAAACCATTCTAACCTGACACTGAGGGACACAACATATAAGATAGATAAACCTTTCTAACCTGACACTGAGGGACACAACATATAAGTTAGATAACCCTTTCTAACCTGACACTGAGGGACACAACATATAAGATAGATAAACCTTTCTAACCTGACACTGAGGGACACAGTATATAAGTTAGATAAACCTTTCTAACCTGACACCGAGGGACACAACATATAAGTTAGATAAACCTTTCTACCCTGACACTGAAGGACCCTACATATAAGTTAGATAAACCTTTCTAACCTGACACTGAGGGACACAACATATAAGTTGAGGGATAGGATATATGCATTACGATACATATAGTAACAATGGAAGCAAAGCGAAAAGATATGTTGCAAACTTTTAATGGCAATATCACAACTGGAAGTTAGACTTTGTCGAAAAAGGGCATGATTTTAAAGTTTAACACAATTTGTGTCTTTCGACATGCATGCCGAGCTGGAGCTGTCACTTGCCTTGATGGACTTGGCTAAATTCAGAAAAGACAAAATCCTGAAAATATTGTAGGTGTATCATGACCTCCCAAAATTTAGAAATATTGTGTATTGTACCGTATTCGAAATATAGCGATGTATTGTTGAACAATTGCAGCCCTAATAAACAGCTCCCTATAGCTGGCTAGACTTTGAGGCTTAGCTGCCAGTGATTTATAAGAGTGAATTTGGGGTCTCATGAAGCCCCACCCCTCTAGAAATAGTCTGCAGTATATTCCCAAATTCTATGCCAAAGTGACTTTATTTTTCCATTCTTTTGTGTGTGATATTTTCCCATTCTTTTTGTGTATGATATTTTCCCATTCTTTTTGTGTGTGATATTTTCCATGCTTTTTGTGTGTGATATTTTCCCATGCTTTTTGTGTGTGATATTTTCCCAAAGTCACAAGGCACTGACTCCATTTCCATCAAAGCAAGAAGCAGGGCAATAATCCTGTTTTACAAACATCATTTGTAGCTTCTGACTGGTTTTTTCCTTTGTTTATTGTCATGGAATTTAAAATGTTTAAAAAAACAAAAAGCACATATCTTAAATGTGTGTTAAGTACGTGTTGGTAATGCTTTATCATCTCCGGATCCTCGAGTAGGGACTTCCTACAGCAGGATATATATTACAATTTCAAGGTCCTATAACCTTGCCAGTGGAAACATCCTCACCAACAACACTTCTGAACTCTCTGGTGAATGTAACAACATGTCTTCATCAACAGTCCTCTGTGTATACACATATTATAAGCCATTTAAAGGTTGCAATGGTTATATTCCTCTCAACAAAGGGTGGAATATACTGGAACTAGGTTTGCTGTCAATCGGCTGATTAATATTATGTTGAGAACTAGCCCTACACGTTTGGACTGAAACTCTTGAGATTTGGTGTGTGTGAAGAGAATCATAGGATGATTGCCTATCAAAAATGGCAACTCAGTGCCAAAGTTTACTGCAGTTATCTTTTCTTATAATTCAAACATATTTTAACACGAATATGAAAAATGGAGACTTGTCTTATAACAAATTTTGTGAACAATGTAATAAGCTGGCTATTGAACTGTCATACATGTTCTCCCATATCAAAACATCTGAGAAATAATCCAGTTCCTGCATATTGATAAAAACAGTTACAGCAAAGGGTTGCACTGTATTTACAGCAATGTATCAGAAGGGTTGCACCTGATGTGAGGTAAGGATATGGTTATTCCAACCCTAGGGATAAAATATTGAGCAAAAAACCCTCGGTAAAGCCTTGGGTCTCCTGCTCAATATTTTATCCCTTTGATTTGAATAGCCTTATCCATACCTCACATCGATATCAGGGCTGGATTCTATTAATCCATACCGCACATCAGGGATGGATTCTATTAATCCATACCTCATATCAGGGATGGATTCTATTAATTCAAACCTCACATCAGGGATGGATTCTATTAATTCAAACCTCACATCAGGGATGGATTCTATTAATCCATACCTCACATCAGGGATGGATTCTATTAATCCAAACCTCACATCAGGGATGCATATTGATAAAAACAGTTACAGCAAAGGGTTGGACTGTATTTACAGCAATGTATAAGAAGGGTTGCACTGTATTTACATCAATGTATCAGAAGGGTTGCACGGTATTTACGGCAATGTATCAGAAGGGTTGTACTGGATTTACAGCAATGTATCAGAAGGGTTGCACTGTATTTACAGCAATGTATCAGAAGGGTTGCACCTGATGTGAGGTAAGGATATGGTTATTCCAACCCTCGGGATAAAATATTGAGCAAAAGACCCTCGGTAAAGCCTTGGGTCTCCTGCTCAATATTTTATCCCTTGGATTTGAATAGCCTTATCCATACCTCACATCGATATCAGGGATGGATTCTATTAATCCATACCTCATATCAGGGATGGATTCTATTAATCCATACCTCACATCAGGGATGGATTCTATTAATCCATACCTCACATCAGGGATGGATTCTATTAATCCATACCTCACATCAGGGATGGATTCTATTAATCCATACCTCACATAAGGGATGGATTCTATTAATCCATACTTCATATAAGGGATGGATTCTATTACTCCATACCTCACATCAGGGATGGATTCTATTAATCCATACCTCACATCAGGGATGGATTCTATTAATCCATACCTCATATAAGGGATGGATTCTATTACTCCATACCTCATATCAGGGATGGATTCTATTAATCTATACCTCATATCAGGGATGGATTCTATTAATCCATACCTCACATCAGGGATGGATTCTATTAATCCATACCTCACATCAGGGATGGATTCTATTAATCCATACCTCACATCAGGGATGGATTCTTTTAATCCATACCTCACACTAGGGATGGATTCTATTAATCCATACCGCACATCAGGGATGGATTCTATCAATCCATACCTCACATCAGGGATGGATTCTATCAATCCATACCTCACATCAGGGATGGATTCTATTAATCCATACCTCACATCAGGGATGGATTCTATTAATTCAAACCTCACATCAGGGATGGATTCTATTAATCCAAACCTCACATCAGGGATGGATTCTATTAATCCATACCTCACATCAGGGATGGATTCTATTAATCCATACTTCACATCAGGGATGGATTCTATCAATCCATATCTCACATCAGGGATGGATTCTATCAATCCATACCTCACATCAGGGATGGATTCTATTAATCCATCGCTGCATTAGTGGATTCCACTATTGTTGTTAGTTCGTAGAGTTCTTGGTAAGATTAATCTTCTTCAACAACAATAAAAAATAAAATCCTTCAATGATAAGGCTGTATATATCAATTCTTGCCCTTGTTTTCCAGGATTTTGATTGGTGCCCCCCGAGCCAATGATTCATTTAGACCCTCTTTAACGGAGCCTGGAGGTCTATTTCGATGTCAGAGGGACCTGAAGCCCACTGAGTGTTCTTTTGTACCCATCAACACAGGTAAGTGAAGTAGGATATTGATACACATGTGTACACTAGTACAAAAATACATGTGTGTACACTAGTACAACAATACATGTGTGTACACTAGTACAAAAATCCATGTGTGTACACAAGTACAACAATACATGTGTGTACACTAGTACAACAATACATGTGTGTACACTAGTACAACAATACATGTGTGAACACAAGTACAAAAATACATGTGTGTACAGTAGACTATTACAACAATACATGTATGTACAATAGAACGACAATAAAGGTATGTACAGAAGAATAACAATACAGGCATGTACAGTAGAACAACAATACAGGTATGTACAGTAGAACAACAATACATGTGTGTACAATAGAACAACAGTACAGGTGTGGACAGTAGAACAACAATACAGGTATGTACAGTAGAACAACAATACAGGTATGTACAGTAGAACAACAATACATGTGTGTACAGTAGACCAGCAATACAGGTGTGTACAGTATAACAACAACAATACAGGTATGTACAGTAGAACAACAATACAGGTATGTACAGTAGAACAACAGTACATGTGTGTACAGTAGAACAACAATACAGGTGTGTACAGTAGAACAACAATACAGGTGTGTACAGTAGAACAACAATACAGGTATGTACAGTAGAACAACAATACATGTATGTACAAAAGAATAAGAATACAGGTGTGTACAGTAGAACAACAGTATCAGTATGTACAGTAGAACAACAATACAGGTGTGTACAGTAGAACAACAATACATGTATGTACAGTAGAACAACAATACAGGTACATACAATAGAACAACAATACAGGTGTGTACAGTAGAACAACAATACAGGTATGTACAGTAGAACAACAGAACATGTGTGTACAGTAGAACAAGAATACAGGTGTGTACAGTAGAACAACTATACAGGTATGTACAGTAGAACAACAATACATGTGTGTACAGTAGACTTTTACAACAATACATGTATGTACAATAGAATAACAATACAGGTGTGTACAGTAAAACAGCAATACAGGTATGTACAGTAGAACAACAATACAGGTATGTACAGTAGCAGAACAACATTACAGGTTTGTATAGTAGAACAACAATACAGATGTGTACAGTAGTAGAACAATACAGGTGTGTACATTAGAACAACAATACAGGTGTGTACAGTAGAACAATGATACAGGTGTGTACAGTAGAACAATAAGTACAGTTGTGTACAGTAGAGCCTCTGTCTTATCGATCTATTTATAGGATGTTAATGGTGTAATGTCACTGTGTAACACTATTGTAGATGTATACAGATTGATTGTGAATCCATTTATGTATGTCATTATAAAACATTCATTTGCATCTGTATTCACAACTTCAAAATTCTGTATAATAAAAAGTTTCCTATTGGCTTGATTACAGATCCAATTAAATATAAGCTAATAATATGGTTAGAATAAAGTAATTCATTGCTTAATCAGTTTTGTGCTGTTGGTATAATTATGAATACATCACAAGAGATTGATCAAATTGAAATTATGCACCATAACGTTTAGAGTAATGAAGAAATAAATGTTCATTTCGAGGTTTTTTTTCTTTCCTCAGAAAGCACATCTGGAAACTGGATGGGTGTGTCAATAGATGTGGGACAGCAGCTTATACTGGTAAGTTTTCATGTCCCTGTGTTAAATTTTCCAAATTATACTGGTAATTCATCAAGTCCCTGTGTTTGTTCTGTTACACATTATAGTTGTAGTCATTAGGTCCCTGTGATTAATTGTTTGATACTGGTGAATCATCAGTGCTCTAAGCTAAGTTCTTTAATTAATTTGGGTGATCCTTAAGGCATCCCACTAACTTCTGCATGAACAGACCAAATGATTTTTAAACGGACAACTTTTGTAAAATTACGTTATATTTACATTCCACTGCAAGACCTCTATTAGCATTACCATTAAGAAATTGCGTTCCTTGGGCTATGAATGAAAATGGATCAGCATTATTTCGATGCCTCGAATAACATGAGACAACTGCCAGTATAGAAGATCAATCAGGTTCCTGTGCTTGTCTAGATAAAACTAATTTGCTGAAGTGGCCTATTGCAGCCTTTTTCCATCTGTTGTCAGCAGTGGCATCCATCATCTTCTTAAGAATCAGTGAATGGGTTTCTTTCAAACTTGGTGAGGATCATCATTTGTGGAAGAGGATATCAAATTGTAAAAATGCAGTTCCTGCCCCTTCCCAACCTGGTTTTGGTAGGGCCCAACAGTGGAAATTGGCCAACATTTCAAAAATCTTCTTGTTCATACCCAAAAGTCCTAGAATCATATACTCTTCATGCATGGAAATATATAAGATACTTTATCAAAATTGTAAATTTTATTATTGAAGGAGATTAAATTGTCATTAAATGTTCTATGTCTAGACATTATTTATTTAATTAAAGAATATTTGTCTGTCGTCAGGTATGTGGTCATCGGTGGATAAGTGCCAATTACAACATGAACGGAATTTGTGTGGAGTTAGGACGTGACTTTGCACAGTCACGTGCTCGCAAATATCTGGTCGACCCCGATATGCAAACCATCAATGATACACTTATTTACAGTATTGGCGCTATGGGCATGTCCTGCGCCTATGCACCCACGGTAAGTCTAGCAGAGTATCAATGTGACTTAATTAATAGAACAAAATTACGAAACACTAACCATGTTAGAACCTGTAATATCTGGCTGCAGTGAGTGACCTGTCTATAGTTGTCCTAGTCCAGACTTTATACATTTGTACATCAAGGGCAATCGCCAGGTGGTTTTTTTAGGTCACCTGAGCTTTAGCTCAAGTGACCTATTGCTATCCGTCTTCGTCCCGTAGTCCGTTAAAATTTTACATTTTCAACTTAAGCTGAAATACTGGCAAAGGGATTTCATTAATATTTCATGGGAAGGTTACTGACATCTCCCTGACCAAGTGTTGTTATTTTTCGGGTCGATCAGAAATCCAATATGGCCACACGGCCGCCATTTTGAAAAACTATTTCAAACTTAAAGTCAAGTTCTGCTGGGCCAATTGAACTGAAACTTTGTAGGAATGATCGTCTCATGGTCCTGACAAAATGTTGTAATTTTTCGGGTCGATCAGAAATCCAATATGGCCGCCACGGCTGCCATTTTGAAAAACTATTTCAAACTTAAAGTCAAGTTTTACTGGGCCGATTGAACTGAAACTTTGTAGGAATGATCAGCTCATGGTCCTGACAAACTTAAGTTAACGTTATACTTAACTATTTTTTACTCAAATTGGTACATATTTCAACAACAAAAATAAATACTGTAGGACTCAGGTGACTGTTTAGGCCCATGGGCCTCTTGTTTAAATTGCACAGGTAGTCCGTAATGACAAAAAAAACATTAAAAGATTGTACAGAGTTAAAAACTAAAATGTAGTGGTAAGAAGACCACTTACGTCTAGTGAGCATCTACAGGCCCCTGTGGGTTCTTGTCACGGTGAGCATATACTGGACTCTGTTGATTCTTGTTCTGGTGAGCATCTACAGACCCCTGTGGGTTCTTGTTCTGGTGAGCATCTACAGACTCCTGTGGATTCTTGTCACGGTGAGCATCTACAGACCCCTGTGGGTTCTTGTCACGGTGAGCATCTACAGGACCCTGTGGATTCTTGTTCTGGTGAGCATCTGCAGACTCCTATGGATTATTGTCACAGTGAGCATCTAAAGGCCCCTGTGGGTTCTTGTCACGGTGAGCATCTACAGGCCCCTGTGTGGATTTTTGTTCTAGTGAGCATCTACAGGCCCCTGTGGGTTCTTGTCACGGTGAGCATCTACAGCTGGCCCCTGTGGAATCTTGTTCTGGTGAGCATCTACAGGCCCCTGTGTGGATTCTTGTTCTAGTTAACATCTACAGACCCCTGTGGGTTCTTGTCACTTTGAGCATCTACAGGCCCCTGTGAGTTCTTGTTCTGGTGAGCATCTACAGGCCCCTGTGTGGATTCTTGTTCTAGTGAACATCTACAGACCCCTGTGGGTTCTTGTCACTTTGAGCATCTACAGGCCCCTGTGAATTCTTGTTCTGGGGAGCATCTACAGGCCCCTGTGTGGATTCTTGTTCTAGTCTGTGGCTTCTTGTCTAGGTGAGCATCTACAGGAGTGAGCATCTACAGGCCCCTGTTGGTTCTTGTTCTGGTGAGCATCTACAGACCCCTGTGGGTTCTTGTTCTGGTGAGCATCTACAGACTCCTGTGGATTCTTGTCATGGTGAGCATCTACAGGCACCTGTGGGTTCTTGTCACGGTGAGCATCTACAGGCCCCTGTGGATTCTTGTTCTGGTGAGCATCTACAGGCCCCTGTGGGTTCTTGTTCTGGTGAGGATTTACAGACCCCTGTGGATTCTTGTTCTGGTGAGCATCTACAGACCCCTGTGGGTTCTTGTTCTGGTGAGCATCTACAAACGCCTGTGGATTCTTGTCACGGTGAGCATATACAGGCCCCTGTGGGTTCTTGTCACGGTGAGCATCTACAGGCCCCTGTGGCTTCTTGTCTAGGTGAGCATCTACAGGACCCTGTGGATTCTTGTTCTGGTGAGCATCTACAGACCCCTGTGGGTTCTTGTTCTGGTGAGCATTTACAGACTCCTGTGGATTCTTGTCACGGTGAGCATCTACAGGCCCCTGTGGGTTCTTGTCTAGGTGAGCATCTACAGGACCCTGTGGATTCTTGTTCTGGTGAGCATCTACAGGCCCCTGTGGGTTCTTGTTCTGGTGAGCATTTACAGACTCCTGTGGATTCTTGTCTAGGTGAGCATCTACAGGCCCCTGTGGGTTCTTGTCTAGGTGAGCATCTACAGGACCCTGTGGTTTCTTGTTCTGGTGAGCATCTACAGGCCCCTGTGGATTCTTGTTCTGGTGAGCATCTACAGGACCCTGTGGATTCTTGTTTACCATTTTAGTGTAGAAACCATAATTTATTTTCATATAGATGTAGATGAGGTTCTGTTTTATACACTCTGGCTTGCAGGTATGCTTGGTTAAGATTGATTGCACTTCTGATATCAATGTGGTTAATTCTTGAACCAGGCTGAACCAATATTTATTAATTTAACAATTTGCCATATTTCATTTTTAGGGTGAATCAAGAACAATTGAGAAGGCTATTGGGGCCCCAGGAATATATGAAGCTACAGGTATTGTATACAGGTTTATACATCACAGCAAATGAAACGTTTATGTGTAGCGTTTTGATGACTCATCAGTTCACTTGTAAAGCGCATTAACAAGTGAAAAAACATAAGAAACGTAGAATATGATAATTGAATTCACAAGTCGATCGGCTACCATTTCAGTATATCAGATGACAATAGGCGATTCAATTCAGCTACACTTTGTTTCGTACCTTGTCGTGGATGTGAGAGAATATGGGCCATATCTCATTGTGATTCAGGACTGGCCTGCTGCTTGAGCAGATAGCTCTGTCTGTTAACTTTGGAATTATCCCTATCAATAACTTGATTTTGCCAGTTAATAACTTCACATATATGATCATAAATGAAAGAAGCTACATGGCAATTAATTCTATATGTAGTACTACAGTTTGAATCTATGTGTCTTTAACGGGTTCAGATATGGATAGTCAAGTGAGTGAGCAATAAATTTATTGATATTTAGGTATAAGATTTTCCTCCGATTTCAACTAAAAGATATTCTGACAACTACGTATACTGTCACTAGATTTAAGCGACATTCTCCGTATTTTAATGAGCTGTTAGGTAGTGGACTATACAGTCACTGATAATTTTGAAGGCTGCAATTTTACAAATGAAAAGGTCACAGATAGGTTTTTTGGTCTGACAGGGGGAGTGGTCAAACACACAGACTTCGATCAGGCTACTGACGTTGTGCACTTTCCGACGCTAAGGCAGACTGAGGCCCAGCTGTATGGGTATGCAGTGACATTCGGGAAACTGTATGGAGGTGACGATTACAACATGATCACAGGTGGACCTCGTGACTCCATGACAGGCCAGGTAAAATACCAATTCTGGAATTATAATTTTCAAGTGAAAATGAGGCACTACAAGAGGTTTGTTATTACATTTCAAGATCAATTTAATAGACATGACTGAGCTTCAATTTGTCCAAACTAATTTATTCACAGTGTTTGCATAATTAACAGTTTCTAAGGAAGATGTTTTTTGAGAGACATACCTGAAGTCGATTGATTCACACTAATTTATTCAGTGTTTGGATAATCAAATTTCTACTGAAGAACATAGTGATATTCTGATAAATCAAGGGTTCCATGGTCAGAAATGGTCAGAATCTAGTTTTTAAGGCCACCATGATCATCAGATAGTCTGCTGTTCAATTGCTTTTTGTCCATCAGTCTGTAACTTTTTATTACCACTATTTCTCGTGCTACTGAAGAGAACGGGATTAAACTTGATATGCATGATCCCCTTGGTTCATGATTTTGCAAGAACAAAGAGATGGATATAAGGAAAAGTAACAGGCAAATCAGCCATATTGGATTTTGCATGTCAAGTTGGATCTGCCATTTCTCATGACCTACTAAACGATTCATGATGATTAAGATCTCCTTAGTCCCTAGCTTTGTGCTTGTTTAAAATCAAAATGACCCATAATGACAACTGTGAATCCCTTTTTGACAAACTATTTTTGTATTTTTGATAAAATGTGATCAAATGAAATAGAGTGATAAGAAAATGCAGTGATACATGCGATATCAAAAAATCTCTCTAAAAGCCCCCCAAATCTCACTGAGAACCATCCAAATCTCACTGAGAGCCATCCAAATCTCACCGAGAGCCACTTAAATCTCACTGAGAACCATCCAAATCTCACTGAGAACCATCCAAATCTCACTGAGAGCCACTCAAATCTCACTGAGAACCATCCAAATCTCACTGAAAGCCATCCAAATCTCACTGAGAACCATCCAAATCTCACTGAGAGCCACTCAAATCTCACTGAGAACCATCCAAATCTCACTGAGAGCCATCCAAATCTCACTGAGAACCATCCAAATCTCACTGAGAGCCACTCAAATCTCACTGAGAACCATCCAAATCTCACTGAGAGCCATCCAAATCTCACTGAGAACCATCCAAATCTCACTGAGAGCCACTCAAATCTCACTGAGAACCATCCAAATCTCACTGAGAGCCATCCAAATCTCACTGAGAACCATCCAAATCTCACTGAGAGCCACTCAAATCTCACTGAGAACCATCCAAATCTCACTGAGAGCCATCCAAATTTCACTGAGAACCATCCAAATCTCACTGAGAGCCACTCAAATCTCACTGATAACCATCCAAATCTCACTGAGAGACATCCAAATCTCACTGAGAACCATCCCAATCTCACCGAGAGCCACTCCACTCTCACTGAGAACCATCCAAATCTCACTGAGAACTAACATCAAATCTCACTGAGAACCATCCAAATCTCACTGAGAGCCATCCATATCTCACTGAGAACCATCCAAATCTCAATGAGAACTAACATCAAATCTCAATGAGAACTAACATCAAATCTCACTGAGAACTAACATCAAATCTCACTGAGAACCATCCAAATCTCACCGAGAGCCTCTCAAATCTCACTGAGAACCATCCAAATCTCAGTGAGAACCACCCAAATCTCACTGAAAACCATCCAAATCTCCCTGAGAACCATCCAAATCTCACTGAGAACCATCCAAATCTCACTGAGAGCCACTCAAATCTCACTGAGAACCATCCAAATCTTACTGAGAGCCATCCAAATCTCACTGAGAACCATCCAAATCTCACTGAGAACCATCCAAATCTCACCGAGAACCACTCAAATCTCACTGAGAACCATCCAAATCTCACTGAGAACTAACATCAAATCTCACTGAGAACTAACATCAAATCTCACTGAGAACCATCCAAATCTCACCAAGAACCGCCTAAATCTCACTGAGAACCACCCAAATCTCACTGAGAACCATCCAAATCTCACCGAGAGCCACTCAAATCTCACTGAGAACCATCCAAATCTCAGTGAGAACCACCCAAATCTCACTGAAAACCATCCAAATCTCCCTGAGAACCATCCAAATCTCACTGAGAACCATCCAAATCTCACTGAAAATTAACCACCCAAATCTCAATGAGAACCACCCGAATCTCACTGAGTGCCACTCAAATCTCACTGAGAACCATCCATATCTCACTGAGAACTACCCAAATCTCACTGAGAACCACCCAAATCTCACCGAGAACCATCCAAATCTCACTGAGAACCACCCAAATTTCACTGAGAACCATCCAAATCTTAACGAAAACCACCCAAATCTCACTGCGAACCACCCAAATCTCACTGAGAACCACCCAAATCTCACTGAGAACCATCCAAATCTCACTGAGAACCATCCAAATCCCACCGAGAACCATCCAAATCTCACTGAGAACCATCCAAATCTCACTGAGAGCCATCCAAATCTCACTGAGAACTAACATCAAATCTCACTGAAAACCACCCAAATCTCACTGCGAACCATCCAAATCTCACTGAGAACCACCCGAATCTCACTGAGAACCACCCGAATCTCACTGAGAACCATCCAAATCTCACTGAGAACCACCCAAATCTCACTGAGAACTATCCAAATCTCACTGAGAACCACCCAAATCTCACTGAGAGCCACCCAAATCACACTGAGAACCATCCAAATCACACTGAGAGCCACCCAAATCACACTGAGAGCCACCCAAATCTCACTGAGAACCATCCAAATCTCACTGAGAACCATCCAAATCTCACTGAGAACCACCCAAATCACACTGAGAACCACCTAAATCTCATTGAGAACCACCCAAATCTCACTGAGAACCATCCAAATCTCACTGAGAACCACCCAAATCTCAATGAGAACTAACATCAAATCTCAATGAGAACTAACATCAAATCTCACTGAGAACTAACATCAAATCTCACTGAGAACCACCCAAATCTCACTGAGAACCACCCAAATCTCACTGAGAACCACCCAAATCTCACTGAGAACCATCCAAATCTCACTGAGAACTAAGAACTACCCACATCTCACTGAGAACTAACATCAAATCTTAACATACCTGGTACATGTGCTTGTTTGGTCGAGAAGAGAACAGAAAAATGAAGAAAAGGGGCTAAATATCACCAGTAGTTCATAATCTTATTGTGGGGCGTCAATATTCTTCTAGAATCTCTTGTTTCAAGACATTTTTACCTTATACAATTTATTTTTACAGGTTAAGATCCTGATGGACAAGGCAAATAATTTTGATTTAAAACAACAAATCCCTGGAGAACAGGTAAAATATTTCTATCCGTCATTCTTATCATGTAATTGACTCAGAAGTTAAAAAAAAAAGTCTTGTTAAGGCGTCTGACCTAAGATCACTAGCCCTCCACCACTCGGTCGCAGGTTCCAGGCCTACGTGGGGTAGCCGCCAGAGACTGCCCGCAGCACGGAAGGTTTTTCTCCAGATGCTCCATTTATTTCACCACCAAAACCTGGCACTTCCTTAAACGACCATAGCAGGTTATACGATGTAAAACACTAACAAAACAGTTGGTTAAAAGCTCCTATTTACTGCCTTTCAAACCGCTGATTTTCTGTTCAGGTGCAGATGAAGCGACGATAGAGTACTGTATACTGGGAAATTTTCGTTGCAGTTTAATTTTCGTAAATTTATCACAACAGCAAATATAAGTAAACAGCATAATAAACATGGTAATTTAATATTGAGGCAAAATTAACACCAGAGGAAAGGATTTCATGAGAAAGGGTGAAAGTTTGAATGGGAGACAATTTCCCGGTACACAGTAAGTGGTTGCCATCATCTCTTACATACACTATAAGCTATTGATCTAACTGAACAGTTGATAACATTTGATAAGCAAATTCAAATAATTAAGTTGAGAAGCCCTTTCAAAATGGCTTGCTGTTGTGTTGTCAAGTGTGACATGAATAGAATTGTTTTGATGTAGTGAGCACATTTTTCTCATTGTAGGTACTTTAGAAATGTAATTAAAAGATATTTTGATGGTTTTCCCATGATATAACATAAATATTTCATTTGTATGGCAGAATACACGGATAATTTGTTTGGGTTTCCAGCTTATACTGACTGGTAATGTTATATAACAGGTTGGGATTATACTGACTGGTAATGTTATATAACAGGTTGGGATTATACTGACTGGTAATGTTATATAACAGGTTGGGATTATACTGACTGGTAATGTTATATAACAGGTTGGGATTATACTGACTGGTAATGTTATATAACAGGTTGGGATTATACTGACTGGTAATGTTATATAACAGGTTGGGATTATACTGACTGGTAATGTTATATAACAGGTTGGGATTATACTGACTGGTAATGTTATATAACAGGTTGGGATTATACTGACTGGTAATGTTATATAACAGGTTGGGATTATACTGACTGGTAATGTTATATAACAGGTTGGGATTATACTGACTGGTAATGTTATATAACAGGTTGGGATTATACTGACTGGTAATGTTATATAACAGGTTGGGATTATACTGACTGGTAATGTTATATAACAGGTTGGGATTATACTGACTGGTAATGTTATATAACAGGTTGGGATTATACTGACTGGTAATGTTATATAACAGGTTGGGATTATACTGACTGGTAATGTTATATAACAGGTTGGGATTATACTGACTGGTAATGTTATATAACAGGTTGGGATTATACTGACTGGTAATGTTATATAACAGGTTGGGATTATACTGACTGGTAATGTTATATAACAGGTTGGGATTATACTGACTGGTAATGTTATATAACAGGTTGGGATTATACTGACTGGTAATGTTATATAACAGGTTGGGATTATACTGACTGGTAATGTTATATAACAGGTTGGGATTATACTGACTGGTAATGTTATATAACAGGTTGGGATTATACTGACTGGTAATGTTATATAACAGGTTGGGATTATACTGACTGGTAATGTTATATAACAGGTTGGGATTATACTGACTGGTAATGTTATATAACAGGTTGGGATTATACTGACTGGTAATGTTATATAACAGGTTGGGATTATACTGACTGGTAATGTTATATAACAGGTTGGGATTATACTGACTGGTAATGTTATATAACAGGTTGGGATTATACTGACTGGTAATGTTATATAACAGGTTGGGATTATACTGACTGGTAATGTTATATAACAGGTTGGGATTATACTGACTGGTAATGTTATATAACAGGTTGGGATTATACTGACTGGTAATGTTATATAACAGGTTGGGATTATACTGACTGGTAATGTTATATAACAGGTTGGGATTATACTGACTGGTAATGTTATATAACAGGTTGGGATTATACTGACTGGTAATGTTATATAACAGGTTGGGATTATACTGACTGGTAATGTTATATAACAGGTTGGGATTATACTGACTGGTAATGTTATATAACAGGTTGGGATTATACTGACTGGTAATGTTATATAACAGGTTGGGATTATACTGACTGGTAATGTTATATAACAGGTTGGGATTATACTGACTGGTAATGTTATATAACAGGTTGGGATTATACTGACTGGTAATGTTATATAACAGGTTGGGATTATACTGACTGGTAATGTTATATAACAGGTTGGGATTATACTGACTGGTAATGTTATATAACAGGTTGGGATTATACTGACTGGTAATGTTATATAACAGGTTGGGATTATACTGACTGGTAATGTTATATAACAGGTTGGGATTATACTGACTGGTAATGTTATATAACAGGTTGGGATTATACTGACTGGTAATGTTATATAACAGGTTGGGATTATACTGACTGGTAATGTTATATAACAGGTTGGGATTATACTGACTGGTAATGTTATATAACAGGTTGGGATTATACTGACTGGTAATGTTATATAACAGGTTGGGATTATACTGACTGGTAATGTTATATAACAGGTTGGGATTATACTGACTGGTAATGTTATATAACAGGTTGGGATTATACTGACTGGTAATGTTATATAACAGGTTGGGATTATACTGACTGGTAATGTTATATAACAGGTTGGGATTATACTGACTGGTAATGTTATATAACAGGTTGGGATTATACTGACTGGTAATGTTATATAACAGGTTGGGATTATACTGACTGGTAATGTTATATAACAGGTTGGGATTATACTGACTGGTAATGTTATATAACAGGTTGGGATTATACTGACTGGTAATGTTATATAACAGGTTGGGATTATACTGACTGGTAATGTTATATAACAGGTTGGGATTATACTGACTGGTAATGTTATATAACAGGTTGGGATTATACTGACTGGTAATGTTATATAACAGGTTGGGATTATACTGACTGGTAATGTTATATAACAGGTTGGGATTATACTGACTGGTAATGTTATATAACAGGTTGGGATTATACTGACTGGTAATGTTATATAACAGGTTGGGATTATACTGACTGGTAATGTTATATAACAGGTTGGGATTATACTGACTGGTAATGTTATATAACAGGTTGGGATTATACTGACTGGTAATGTTATATAACAGGTTGGGATTATACTGACTGGTAATGTTATATAACAGGTTGGGATTATACTGACTGGTAATGTTATATAACAGGTTGGGATTATACTGACTGGTAATGTTATATAACAGGTTGGGATTATACTGACTGGTAATGTTATATAACAGGTTGGGATTATACTGACTGGTAATGTTATATAACAGGTTGGGATTATACTGACTGGTAATGTTATATAACAGGTTGGGATTATACTGACTGGTAATGTTATATAACAGGTTGGGATTATACTGACTGGTAATGTTATATAACAGGTTGGGATTATACTGACTGGTAATGTTATATAACAGGTTGGGATTATACTGACTGGTAATGTTATATAACAGGTTGGGATTATACTGACTGGTAATGTTATATAACAGGTTGGGATTATACTGACTGGTAATGTTATATAACAGGTTGGGATTATACTGACTGGTAATGTTATATAACAGGTTGGGATTATACTGACTGGTAATGTTATATAACAGGTTGGGATTATACTGACTGGTAATGTTATATAACAGGTTGGGATTATACTGACTGGTAATGTTATATAACAGGTTGGGATTATACTGACTGGTAATGTTATATAACAGGTTGGGATTATACTGACTGGTAATGTTATATAACAGGTTGGGATTATACTGACTGGTAATGTTATATAACAGGTTGGGATTATACTGACTGGTAATGTTATATAACAGGTTGGGATTATACTGACTGGTAATGTTATATAACAGGTTGGGATTATACTGACTGGTAATGTTATATAACAGGTTGGGATTATACTGACTGGTAATGTTATATAACAGGTTGGGATTATACTGACTGGTAATGTTATATAACAGGTTGGGATTATACTGACTGGTAATGTTATATAACAGGTTGGGATTATACTGACTGGTAATGTTATATAACAGGTTGGGATTATACTGACTGGTAATGTTATATAACAGGTTGGGATTATACTGACTGGTAATGTTATATAACAGGTTGGGATTATACTGACTGGTAATGTTATATAACAGGTTGGGATTATACTGACTGGTAATGTTATATAACAGGTTGGGATTATACTGACTGGTAATGTTATATAACAGGTTGGGATTATACTGACTGGTAATGTTATATAACAGGTTGGGATTATACTGACTGGTAATGTTATATAACAGGTTGGGATTATACTGACTGGTAATGTTATATAACAGGTTGGGATTATACTGACTGGTAATGTTATATAACAGGTTGGGATTATACTGACTGGTAATGTTATATAACAGGTTGGGATTATACTGACTGGTAATGTTATATAACAGGTTGGGATTATACTGACTGGTAATGTTATATAACAGGTTGGGATTATACTGACTGGTAATGTTATATAACAGGTTGGGATTATACTGACTGGTAATGTTATATAACAGGTTGGGATTATACTGACTGGTAATGTTATATAACAGGTTGGGATTATACTGACTGGTAATGTTATATAACAGGTTGGGATTATACTGACTGGTTATGTTGTATAACAGGTTGGGATTATAATGACTGGTTATGTTGTATAACAGGTTGGGAGTTACTTCGGGTCGGCCATTGCCACAACGCCTCTACAGACTGGTGAGCCGGAGTACCTGCTGGTTGGAGCACCTATGTATGCAGGCTTTGACAGGAACAACTGGAATATCGTGGAAGAGATCGGCAAAGTTTACGTCTATAAATATGACAGCGCTGATGTAAGTCTTAGAGTCTTCACACAGTGAAGTTTGAATGTTACATGACATGAAGATATTTCAAATCGAATTTCACCATTATTTGTTTGACAATTTTGTAAATGGGAATTGGTTTTGTAAAACTTGTAAATGAATTGGATGTTCATCAGACTATTTTCCATGCCCCCAACTTTTGTATGTTTCATTTTGAACTACATGCAAGCTTTTTGATCAAAAGAAGCAATTCCTTTTGTTCAACTTTTAGTCTTTTACACATTTATAATTCTAGTCAATTGGTAAACACACTACCAACCTCACTTTGAAAAGGTCAATGTCATTCACAACTGCATGTATGAAGGTTTGATAAAAGTTACAAAAAGATACATTTACTAATGTTTCATTGAAAAACTGCCAAACAACTGAAGTGTTACTCCGATTGTATTTGCAGGGAAAGATGGTACAGACTCAAACATTAGTTGGAAGCCAATCTGAAGGATCAAGATTTGGGACGGCCATTTCAGGCCTCAATGACATTAATGGGGATAGTTACTACGGTAATGCTTGTGTCAGCTATAAATAGTAATATAATAGCAGTAGGATATTCAAATGAAACTTACCTTTTTAAAAATCAAGAGTACGGTTGTTTAAACTGAGTTATCATTATACACACTTTCTGAAAAAGGAGTTTCAGGGAGTGTTAGAAGTGGAGTAGAAGTGAATTTGTGATGCCTTATCATTTTCATTTTCATTCAATAACCACCTGAATTTCTGAAACAGTTCTCATGTCAAGCAGAATTGTGAGACCCAATACAATCTTGCTAAACTGAAAATGATTGTAAAAAGAGTCCTTTATAAATTACTACTGTGTTCAACTTGCAATTTGTAAAGTTAAGTCCTTTCTGTCAATTTTATTAAAATTACATGTTCTCATCACTTTCGTTAATTGATAAAATGCATGAATAGGGAGCAATAAGAAAGTTTAATTTTGATTTCATAGGCCCTTTCCATTTAAACATATTTTATTTGTCATTCAACAAAAAGGATGAGGCCCTTTCTATATGCTGTACAGTGAGAATGTTGCAAATTGCAAAAGTGTTCTTGTTCCACTCAGATATTGCTGTTGGTGCTCCCTACGAGGATGAAGGTCATGGAATGGTGTACATTTACAATGGATATCAAGGGGGATTCTGGCCCATGGAGACTCAGAGGATAAAAGGGAGAGAATTAAATTTGTTGACATTTGGAGTAGCTATCTCTAAACCTTTCCTGTACAACAGTGATGCATACTATGGTGAGAACACACACAAATTATTCAGAAAAAAGAAAGATAGAAAAGGTTAATGGTTTGAGAGGTGCAATTGTAAAGTGGGAATTTCTATACAAAGGTTGTTTTTCCCATGGGCTCTGATTTTTAGCTCACCTGGTCCGAAGTACCATGGTGAGCTTATGCCATACTGCAGCGTCAGTCGTCCGTACGTTCGTCAACTTTTCCTAAAAATCGCTACTAGTCATGAACGACTGGGGGCTGAGGGGTGGGGCCCAATAGGGGAAATATAGCAAATTCTTTAAAATCCTTCTTTTTCTGTAGGAATGATAGGATTTGTTCCATATTTGGTCTGAAGCATCCTTGGGTGAAAGGGAACCAATTTTGTATAAACCGTGGGTCTGGCCCCCCAGGGGCCTGAGAGGTGGGGCCCGATAGGGGAAACATAGCAAATTCTTTAAAATCCTTCTCATTCTGTAGGAATTAAAGGATTTGGTCTGAAGCATTCTTGGGTGAAGGGGAACCAATTTTGTATAAACTGTGGGTCTGGCCCCCCAGGGGCCTGAGGGGCCGGGCCCAATAGGGGAAACATTATTCTTATTATTCTTTAAAATCCTTCTTCTTCTATAGAAATGAAAGGATTTGGTCCATATTTGGTGTGAAGCATTCTTGGGTAAAGGGGAGCCAATTCTGTATAAACTGTAGGTGTGCCCCCCCCCCCCCCCCCCCCCCCCCCCCCGGGACCTGAAGGGGGGCAGGGGGGGGGGGCAATAGGGGAAATAGAGGTAAAACCTTTATAATCCTTCTTCTACCATAGGGATTAAGGGATTTTATCCTAATTTATTCTGGAGCATCCTTGGGCAAAAGAAACTCAATTTCGTATAAACAGCAGTGTGGCCCACCTGGGGGCAGAAGGGACTAGGCCCAATAGGGGAAACATAGCAAATTCTTCAAAATCCTTCTTCTTCTGTAGGAATGAAAGGATTTTGTTCAAATTTGGTATGAAGCGTCCTTGGGTGAAGGGGAACCAATTGTTTATAAATGGTGTGTCGGACCCCCCTGGAGAGGCAGGGCCCAATAGGGGAAATAGAGGTAAAACCTTTAAAATCCTTCTTCGACCAAAGGGATTAAGGGATTTTATCCTAATTTAGTCTGGAGCATCCTTGGGCCAAGGGGAATCAGTTTTGTATAAGCAGTTGGTGTGGTCTCCCAGGGGACAGAAGGGTGGGGCCCAATAGGAGAAATAGAGGTAAAACCATTAAAATCCTTCTTTGACCATCGGGATTAAGGGATTTTATCCTTATTTAATCTGGAGCATCCTTGGGCCAAGGGGACTCAATTTTGTATAATTTGTGGGTGTGACTTTCCCTAGGGGCATAGGGGGTGGGGCTCTGTTTGAAGTTTGTTATCGCTATATCTCAAGGACTGGATGGATCTTTATGAAATTTCATACGTACTTATAGCACCTACCATGGAGTGCTATATCTTTACTACATACCAATTATTTTAAACATATTCAGGTGAGCGATACAGGCCCTCTGGGCCTCTTGTTGCATTTTTTTGTGGTATTAGTTTTTAGCTCACCTGGCCCGAAGGAGAATTTGAGATGACCAGAAAGAAAACTTTTACAGTATATCATGGTTCTACTGTTGAGTACAGTCAGATCTTGTTTTCGCTACCAAATATTTATCGTCGTAGATTTGAGTGTCTTGATAAACAGGGACAGGGACTTTGGAAAGCTTGGGAAGATATATCTCTACATCTGGTTTAAGCCATCCGTGGTTTTTGAGGAATCATGATGCCTTGCTTGTCATTTTTTGTGTTTTCTATATAATTTCATTTTTAGGTCACCTGAGACAAAGTCTCAAGTGACCTATTGGGATCGCCTTTTGTCCGTCGTCGTCCGTCGTGCGTCCGTAAACAATTTACATTTTCGACTTCTTCTCCAAAACCCCTGAACCAATTTCAATGAAATTTTGCAGGGACCTTCCATGGACAAAGGTCAACAAAAATAGTTGCC